ACACAGTTCCACACAAGAGATTGGTGCAAAAACTGGAGGACCAAGCAGGGATAACAGGGAATGCACTACAATGGATCAGAGAATACTTGTCAGGAAGACAGCAGCGAGTCATGGTACGTGGCGAGGTGTCAGAGTGGGCACCTGTGACCAGCGGGGTCCCACAGGAGTCAGTCCTAGGACCAGTGCTGTTTCTGGTATTTGTAAACGACATGACGGAAGGAATAGACTCTGAGGTGTCCCTGTTTGCAGATGACGTGAAGTTGATGAGAAGAATTCACTCGATCGAAGACCAGGCAGAACTACAAAGGGATCTGGACAGGCTGCAGACCTGGTTCAGCAATTGGCTCCTGGAGTTCAACCCCACCAAGTGCAAAGTCATGAAGATTGGGGAAGGGCAAAGAAGACCGCAGACGGAGTACAGTCTAGGGGGCCAGAGACTACAAACCTCACTCAAGGAAAAAGATCTTGGGGTGAGTATAACATCAGGCACATCTCCTGAAGCGCACATCAATCAAATAACTGCTGCAGCATATGGGCGCCTAGCAAACCTCAGAACAGCATTCCGACATCTTAATAAGGAATCGTTCAGGACCCTGTACACCGTGTACGTTAGGCCCATATTGGAGTATGCGGCACTAGTTTGGAACCCACACCTAGCCAAGCACGTAAAGAAACTAGAGAAAGTGCAAAGGTTTGCAACAAGACTAGTCCCAGAGCTAAGAGGTATGTCCTACGAGGAGAGGTTAAGGGAAATCAACCTGACGACACTGGAGGACAGGAGAGATAGGGGGGACATGATAACGACATACAAAATACTGAGAGGAATTGACAAGGTGGACAAAGACAGGATGTTCCAGAGATTGGACACAGTAACAAGGGGACACAGTTGGAAGTTGAAGACACAGATGAATCACAGGGATGTTAGGAAGTATTTCTTCAGCCACAGAGTAGTCAGTAAGTGGAATAGTTTGGGAAGCGATGTAGTGGAGGCAGGATCCATACATAGCTTTAAGCAGAGGTATAATAAAGCTCACGGTTCAGAGAGAGTGACCTAGTAGCGATCAGTGAAGAGGCGGGGCCAGGAGCTCGGACTCGACCCTCGCAACCTCAACTAGGTGAGTACAACTAGGTGAGTACACACACTCACACTGACGACGTGAGTGTCACTCATGATTGATTAATTGTGTAGGATCAGGGTTTGTTCTCTTAACAGAGAGAAACACTGGCCATGTGTCTTTACGTCTGTTGCTCCTCTTCACTCAGTACTAAGTAGGTATTTGGGTGCTAGCCGACAAGTGTGGGTCGCATCCTTGGGGAGACGATTAAACGACCCCAATGGAAAATCCAAAGGGACGAAGCGACTCCTCCTACGCTACCGCCGTTTTAACATCAACCACCACAGACTCAACATAGTACACTGGGATCTCTCTATACAGAGGATACATATCATTCACAGTCTGTAGGAGGACAACAGACATTGGCAATCACTCATTTACACTGTAGACGAACACCACATTAAGGATCCCAAGACTTTCTGGAATTTCATCCATAATTATGAGTTCATCCATAACAATGAGTTCTGGTGTGTTGACTGGAGTAAAATGCGTAAGAACATTTTTATTCATAGACGTCCTGTTGACTTGGAATAAGATAAGATTCCTGTTCGGATTTTTAACCTGGAAGGTTAGCTACCAAGGATAACCCAGTACTCAGTGCGTCATAAGAGACTGTCTGTTTTATTTCCATTAGGGTCCTCTGATCTTGTCCCACAGGATGCAACCCACATCAGTCGACTAACACACTCGCTACTAGATGAACAGGGGCAGCAAATGTAAGAAAATATGTATACCTAACGTTTCCACCCGCGACGAAAATCGAACCACGGGCACTCAGTACGTGAGCTGAAAGCATATCAACCGAGCCACAGGCGTTGCCTACTTTGTGGATGAAACCTGCTGAGCAGGCGAAACGTAGTCTTAATGAAGTAACCTGTTGCTGCTTGTGTGTCTTTATCAGCCACAAAGGGTAATCTGTGATTGGTCTTTTTCTTTAAGTAATTTGCCCGAAATGCTCAGCATAACAAGCGGCTTTCTTTATAGTAGTATGTCACTGATGTCAGCTAGGACTGTGTACCATGAACATATACTTGTACTAAATAAAGATATTTTAAGTATAAACTGGACGCAATAGTTTAGCTTTCTCTGCAGGTTTGAGATAATGAAACGTTTGAGGGTAATCATGTGAATGTTGTCCATGTAGCATACCCACATGATATTGCTAGGGATAATATTGAAGAATAATTTGATTTCTGCGTGTCTTTAAAGTTTCTCCGAGACAGCTGATTGGATAACCTATACCCATCCCATAGATTCGTCTACAAGACGTTATTGTTGAAAAAGAAACCACTGAAGTTTGCACAAATCTTAATCAGGTCGACGAAGTCCCTGACGGGTAGTAGAATAAATTAAAGTCCCGATTAACTGTACATCGGAGCTGGTCGATGGCCTGTGGTGGGAAGTTTGTTGAAAAGTATCCATACTGCCTGAATCCTTCAACGAACTTCGGAATATGATTTCCAAGTGTTTAAGGTACTCTGGAAGAATTTCTCCTGCTAATTCAATGCTGCAACCACCAACAAAAACCTCTCCAGCCATCTCTCGACGTATTAATACAGAAGACCAACATCGAGATCAATACCTGCACTGGAAAGATATAACTTTTTATACAACTCCTGACCAAGAACCCACCATGACTGTCGACACTGTGTACGAGAAATTACACGACAGAACAGTCAAGTTTACAAATCGTAAAGGATCCCACTGCTCCTTCACTACACTCCAGATGACCTTGGACCAGTTACAAGCCAACCCAGCATTTCGACCCAAGATTACAAGACTACTTATCGTTTCCTTCCAACAAATGCACAACATAAGGAATGCCTCCTTCACGAAAGAAATGAAGTAACTCCAGACTCACATATTAACGACACCTGACCATCAAGAAGCTAGCCTCCCTTGACCACTCCTCCAGCTTCTGCCAGCCGCCAATCAACATCAAGATGCAGAAATCTTCTGTCCAGCAAGATGCAGTCAGAGCCTGCAGAGTTCCTGTTGTCTTTATATCGTCTTTTGTCATCGTTATTGTGGCTTAGCAGTTGGGTCTAGTCCTGACTCTTCTCTCTTCGACTCAAGACATTCCTCTCACCGTCTATTCTTCGCACTGTCCCCACTTACCCCTCGCCCCTCGTGGGTCCTTACCTGTGAGTCCAATCTGATCTGATCTGATCTGCTAATTCACTAGACACCACACAGACAGGAATACAGACAGTGTTGTTTTGCTGTGCTGACACAGCAAAGCAACACTATCTGCATTACCTCCTCTCGGTCTTCCCTAAGTCTAACTGGAAGTGTACTTTGATCCCATTGCCCATCTTGAGGTTAATATCAACTTCAAGAGTTTGACATATTCATATAGTTTACAGCTTGCGAATGAGGATGTATACCTCAGGAAATAGTTTAACTTACGCAGGACTAAGCATTTTGTGAAATGCAAATGGCGAAGTTGGCGTCTAGAACCCCCCCCCCCCAACCCTGTTCCTCCCTATTTTCTGTTCCATCCGCTTCAGGTCATTCAGTTTCTCATTGAGCATTACGTCAGTGGTATTGACTGATGTTGTAGTGGCCAGGCTTAAGCTTGGTTACAAGTATTTCTGGCAGTTTGGGAAACACACAGATGATGATCAAACTAAATGTAAATTATGTGATCAGGTATATGGTCACTGTCTTGAACACTATGTGCTTAATTGTCCACTTATTGAGGAATACAGAGACAGTATGATAACCTATTACCTGGAGTTTACCTGGAGAGAGTTCTGGGGGTCAACGCCCCCGCGGCCCGGTCTGTGACCAGGCCTCCTGGTGGATCAGAGCCTGATCAACCAGGCTGTTGCTGCTGGCTGCACGCAAACCAACGTACGAGCCACAGCCCGGCTGGTCAGGAACAGACTTTAGATGCTTGTCCAGTGCCAGCTTGAAGACTGCCAGGGGTCTGTTGGTAATCCCCCTTATGTATGCTGGGAGGCAGTTGAACAGTCTCGGGCCCCTGACACTTATTGTATGGTCTCTTAACGTGCTAGTGACACCCCTGCTTTTCATTGGGGGGATGTTGCATCGTCTGCCAAGTCTTTTGCTTTCGTAGTGAGTGATTTTCGTGTGCAAGTTCGGTACTAGTCCCTCTAGGATTTTCCAGGTGTATATAATTATGTATCTCCCGCCTGCGTTCCAGGGAATACAGGTTTAGGAACCTCAACATGTCAAGATATCTTATTAATGAAAATAAGATATCAGATATACTAAGCAAATTTCCTTAATTTGCTTGTAACAGATAAGTGAACTGTAGATATATAGATATAAATCCATATGTACACCTGTTAACCCTTTTGGGGCCTAGTTCCTAGACCTTGTGTGTATCCATATGCTCTTGCACTACCATCCACAGGATGGATATGGGGTGCACAATAAACTAGCCACTTCAGTGGCAAAATCTCTAATTCAGTGGTACTAGCCCCTGAAGGATCTCTGGGTAGGATTATATCAGTGGGAGAAATTGATTTGCCCTTTGCTCTTGGTAGTATGGCTCTTATTGCATGGATGACCGGCTGGTTGGCTGCGATGATAACACATTAGAGTAAGTCCCTGTGCCTTTACTCGTTGGAGCTATTTAGGAACCAAATGCTTAGCTCGCTGGAAAAACTAGGTATTTCATCAACCTATATGCAGAATGGAAATGGGGCGAGAGCCATAGGATGTCCCTGCCGAACACCCTTCGATGAGGTGACTTCATGCTTCCCATGCAAAAGCAGAAATTTTATCTCCTTGTATCCAACAAGTGGAGGCGCTTTGGTTTTAAATTATCATCAAAAGACACACCGCATAATGCAGAAGCTTTTATTTCAACACTCAACACTTTCAGCAGATCTGTTTACCAAGCCTGGAAGTCGAATCCTGGACCTCATGGTTATTCGGGAAGATCTAACCAGTGAGCAAGAGAATGCAGAACTAGGAAGAAACTGTCGTCAGAAAGTGTTCGCTGTCACCGCAGCTTCCACGCCGTCATGGAGCTCGTCTATCACGAAAAGGTATATTTCTACACTCTTTCTTGGCTTTTCCAGGACGCTTAGCCATTTAAGCATAAGATTTTTACAGCTCTGGCTTAAGAGTAGCGAATGAGGGTTTAAATACGAGGAAATAATCCGCACAGCTCAGTGGAAGAAGCTGCGCACTGCTGAGTAAATTATCACTTTAACGTCACGATGATGCAACGTGGATCAGGTCACGCACTGAGAAATGTGCACTGATGGACACACATATATTTGTAAGTCATACCAAATGTGTCACTCCATTGGTCACTGCACCTCCACGGTGGGTTTTTCTTTTGACTAGTTGCACTTCCTGAGTGGTGGGTGTGTCGACTGACCAGTCAAGGCACCTTAAGTAACTACGTAAGTTTATTTAGGTAACAGGTACACATAAGTACAGTTATGATACATTATGCAGATTACCTAGGATAACAACAAAAAAAAAGTCAAGGTGATTTATTTCCATTTAGGTCCTTCCAGCATTCTTTGGCTCTACTGTTTTCTCAATTTACAACTGTGTTCTCTTGTTATACCCTTTTGCAAATGTAATAGTTTTTTTTTTTTTAGCACAGGCTGTCTCCCACCGAGTTTGAGTGACCCAGCAAAGAAGAAATCACTTTTGCCATTGCTCAAGACAATTACAGGTTTCCGTTTCACACACCTTTGGCAGATTAGCAGTAGTACAATGCCTCCCTGGGTGGTTACTGTACCAGCCTAATCTTATATGTCTTATTATGACCTTACATGAGGAGATTGATTTCTTGTATATCTAATATATATGTACAATGATCTGATACTATATTTAATGTCAATGTAAGTATCGGATTTTACCTTACTCCTAGTGTATATCTCCTTTCATTATAACTACTTTTCCCATGTTTCAGATACATAAGTACCTGCCTCTAACTTTTCAATATAATTAATACTTATCGCAAGGATCCCAATGGAAATAAGTCATTGTCTGACATTTTTGGGTTATCCTAGGTAATCTACACATATGTTGCTATGTATGATAATCTATGTAACTATTTATGTGTACCTGTACCTGAATAAAAACCTACTTATCTCTCTTCCTCCTATTACCTAGCATTAACATTCAGCATAACTTATTTTTTTTATTCTTGTAGTCATTTATAGCTCTTCTTTGGACCTCAAACTTATCCATGTGTTTAAGGTGTGGGTACCACGGCACGACTGGCAAACCTACCTAATCCTTACCATGACTGTAAATTCCAGTTTTGGTGTAATATATGTTATAAGCAGCTTATCAGCATTTCTCTATACAGTGTAACCTCAAAAATCGAACTTAATCCGTTCCAGGAGCTAGTTCTAAATTCGAAAAGTCTGAAATTCGAAGCAATATTTCCCATAAGAAATAATGGAAATACAATTAATCCGTTCCAGAAACCCAAAAATATTCACACAAAAAATACATTTTATAGAGATTAATTACAGTTTTACATACAACAGATACTATAGTTTTTAATTATGTATAGTAATACATATAAAATAACCTTTTTATTTACCTTTATTGAAGATTGGTGATGGCATCTGGAAGATAGGGAGGAGGAGAGAGGGAGTTGGGGTTAGTGTTTGGAAGGAGAATCCCCCTCCATGAGGACTTCGGGTAAAGCCCTCTCTGGGGTTACTTCCCTTCTCTGTCTTTTAATGCCACTAGGACCAGCTTGAGAGTCACTGGACCCCTGTCTCACAAAATAACTGTCCACAGTCCTCTGTTTCTGGTGCCTCTTTAACATTTCCCTAAAATGGGACATGGTTCTGTCACTGAACTTGTTGCAAAGATGTTCTTCAACTCTATACATCCTTGGTTAGGCCTCATTTAGATTATGCTGCACAGTTTTGGTCACCGTATTACAGAATGGATATAAATGCTCTGGAAAATGTACAAAGGAGGTTGACAAAGTTGTCCCATGTATCAGAAACCTTCCCTATGAGGATAGACTAAGGGCCCTGAATCTGCACTCTCTAGAAAGACGTAGAATTAGGGAGGATATGATTGAGGTGTATAAATGGAAGACAGGAATAAATAAAGGGGATGTAAATAGTGTGCTGAAAATATCTAGTCTAGACAGGACTCGCAGCAATGGTTTTAAGTTGGAAAAATTCAGATTCAGGAAGGATATAGGAAAGTACTGGTTTGGTAATAGAGTTGTGGATGAGTGGAACAAACTCCCAAGTACAGTTATAGAGGCCAGAACGTTGTGTAGCTTTAAAAATAGGTTGGATAAATACATGAGTGGATGTGGGTGGGTGTGAGTTGGACCTGATAGCCTGTGCTACCAGGTCAGTTGCCGTGTTCCTCCCTTAAGTCGATGTGACCTGACCTGACTAGGTTGGATGCATTGGCTTAAGACGGTAGGAGACTTGGACCTGCCTCGCATGGGCTAGTAGGCCTGCTGCAGTGTTCCTTCGTTCTTATGTTCTTATGGCTTGTTTCAGCTTGCTCAGGGTGGTACTTCTGCACAAACATTTGGACATCATTCCACTTGGCACAAATCTCCTTAATCTTTGAAGAAGGCACCTCATCCACTCCCTATATTAACACCTTTCGCAACATCAGCTTCCTTGACATGTTCTTTCTTTGACAGGATAGAACCGATGGTCAACTTGTTTTTCCCATACATCCTGGCAAGCTCAACAAGTCTCACACCACTCTCATACTTTTGTATTATTTCCTTCTTCACATCTATGGTATTTCTCACTTTCTTTACCACGGGGGTACCACTAGCAAGTTTCTTTGGGCCCATGGCAGCTTATTTCACAGTCCCACAAGCACTAAGCACAACAAAATAATCGTAAAATGCGTGAATGAGAGCGCAGGTTAGTGTTCGCTCAAGCATAAACAAAGCTAGATTGCTCACGGCGCCGACGCGGACAGAGCGGGCGGCAGACAGGTCCCGTACCCGGCGATCCGAAAATAGGGGCGCGTTCGATAATAGGGACACAGTTTGTCCGAAAAAATGGTCTTATTTTTGAAACGTTCGATATGTGATACATTTGATTTTTGAGGTTCCACTGTACATAAATTTAAAAAATGTTTTATAATGCATAGGAGTTACCTTCTGATGCTGAGGTTTTAATTTTTCTTTAATATAGCCAGCCATATACTATATCAATATGGCATAGTTTATGCTTGTATGTAGCATTCAGCAGGCACCTTAATTGTTATTCTGTAGTGTGGCTGCATTGCACCTTACTGTGTGTATTATTTGCAGCAAGATGGATTACTTTGTGGTCAACACTGCCTTAACAATCTACTCCAAGGCCAGTACTTTTCTGTTGTGGATCTGGCAGACATAGCACAACAGATGGACCAAGCTGAACAGCATCATATGGCAGAGCTGGGAATGCACACAGATGATTTCAGAAGATTTATGGAGGTAAGTAGAAACTTTCCAGAAAGTTTTATTCTGTACCTAGCTGTCCCTTCAAATCCTGGGAGAGAACTCATTTCAAATGATTGTAGTGTTCAAGAGTGAGGACTGGTGGAAATACAGTTCTGTAATGTAAGTCACAGTAGCTTTTTGGGGGATTATCGTAGGGTAAAACTACATAAATGTATAACAGTTACCATTATAATATGTTTATAACAGTTATATTATTTTGGCAACTATAGAATAAATGTATTATAGCCTGTAAAACTATGTGTAGTGAATCTCTACTAAATTTTTTGCTCAACTATAGATGTATAGAAAAACTACCATACAAAAAAATTAGGATGCAGGGATAGTGTTATATATGAGAATGGTACATTGGATGAATCATAGACAAGAGATATGAAAAGTGTTGCAGGACTTTGCACCAGTTTGCATGAAACTTCAAATTTTTCAAAGCAGCTTTAGTGCTGTATATTCTTATGATGTAATTTGCAAAGATTTCATTGCTAATAAGTGTTAATAACTTTTATCATCTTGGAGTTGATACTGACAGGAAGAAAAATAGAGCTTGCCAAAGTCCAGGAAATTAAGGCATATCCTACAAAAGTCATTAATACCAGATGCAGTAAGATATGGTTGGATGAGGTAAATACACGAAAGATAAACAGAGGAGTAAATACTGTAGAGGAATTGAGAAGTATAGAGGTGATTGTAAATAATAATAAAAGTAATGATGATAATTAATAATAATAAAATAATAGTGTAAAAATAAAATAAAACTAGCCATAAAGTTAGGGAGTGTGTATGAGATGGAAACAAGTCCAGTATATATCTGATATAGTTGAGTACTGCATATACATAACTCTCTATGGGGCTCTGTGAAAGTAATTTTATAGAACCATTTAAAATACATTTATATTATCTAACTTTTATGCTGTTGTGTTCTTTGTATTTTTTTAATTGACAAAAAATTTAATTATTATTATTATTATTATTATGCATTTTAATTATTAGATGGGTCACAGAACCTATTAAATTCAGAATTTAATATAGAAATGTTTAAGCAAAAATTTAATCCTCAGCAACCATCGGTGAACATGGACGACAGTGGCATGTTCAGTGTCCAGGTACTGACATCTGCTTTGCGAGTGTGGGACCTTACATTGGTGCCCTTTGCCTCCAGTAGTCCTTTGGCAGAAGCTGCCCGAGACAACCCAACGTAGGTTGTTTCCAGAGTTGCCTTTTTTTTTTTTTTTTTTTTTTTAGCTGAATTGCATATATTTTGAATGTACTATTCAGTCAAACTCAGGAAATTCAAACTTATTGGAGCAAGAACTTTCAAGAAAATTATTTTGTAGACCTAAAGTATTGTTATAGACCTTGTTTGTAAGTACTGTACTGTACCATTATTCATAATACAGATACGTATTCATAAATCTTGGAGCATCTGTATTTGTTAATATGCAGAATAGTGATGGTTTAGTTCATTACAATATTCAGAGAATTAAAAACTATAAATTATTCCAATCTTTATTTTGTTTTTGTTTTTCAGAGAACAACAGGCATACATATGTAACTTCAAGGAACACTGGCTGACAGTACGGAAATTGGGTCACCAGTGGTTCAACCTTAATAGCCTCCTCTCACAGCCTGAGCTCATCTCCAATACTTACCTGGCACTTTTCCTCACACAGCTGCAGCATGAAGGTTAATTACCACACAAATCTTTAGTAAAGAAATCAACAAAATGAGATGATGCTTCAGAGCTGGGACAAAGTGATGTAGCCAGTAATATACTTAACGAGGAAGTTTATCCTCAAAATATATCAAAGAGGAGCAGTGAAACACAGAATAAAGAAGTGTTAGATGCCTCTTTGCCAACATAAGTTGGCTTGTAGACTTGTAAGATGTTAGCTTTGTAATTGTGTGCCTTGTGTTTCACGTATTGTCATGGCTTATGTACAATGTAATGTATGTATAGTGTAATGTATGTTTTTTTTTTTTTAACAAGTTGGCCATCTCCCACCGAGGCAGGGTGACCCAAAAAGAAAGAAAATCCCCAAAAAGAAAATACTTTCATCATCATTCAACACTTTCACCTCACTCATACATAATCACTGTTTTTGCAGAGGTGCCCAGAACAACAGCTTAGAAGCATATACGTATAAAGATACATACACAACATATCCCTCCAAACTGTAAATATCCCAAACCCCTCCTTGAAAGTGCAGGCATTGTACTTCCCATTTCCAGTACTTGAGTCCGGCTATATAAAAATAACCGGTTTCCCTGAATCCCTTCACTAAATATTACCCAGCTCACACTCCAACAGCTCGTCAGGTCCCAAATACCATTCACTCCTATCTAACACGCTCATGTACGAGTATAGTGCAAAAACAGTGATTAAGTGTGAGTGAGGTGAAAGTGTTGAATGATGAAAGTATTTTCTTTTTTGGGATTTTCTTTCTTTTTGGGTCGCCCTGCCTCGGTGGGAGATGGTCGACTTGTTAAAAAAATAAATAAATCTTTCTTCTTCTTTCAACGTACCAGTCGTATCCCACTGAGGTGGGATGGCCCAAAAGAAAAAATTAAAGTTTCTCCTTTTAAATTTGGTAATATATACAGGAGAAGGGGTTACTAGCCCCTTGCTCAAATAAATAAATAAATAAATATATATATATATTTTTTTTTTTCAACAAGTCGGCCGTCTCCCACCGAGGCAGGGTGACCCAAAATGAAAGAAAATCCCCAAAAAGAAAATACTTTCATCATCATTCAACACTTTCACCTCACTCACACATAATCACTGTTTTTGCAGAGGTGCTCAGAACACAACAGTTTAGAAGCATATACGTATAAAGATACACAACATATCCCTCCAAACTGCTAATATCCCAAAACCCCTCCTTTAGAGTGCAGGCATTGTACTTCCCATTTCCAGGACTCAATCCGGCTATATAAAAATAACCGGTTTCCCTGAATCCCTTCACTAATTATTACCCTGCTCACACTCCGACAGATCGTCAGGTCCCAAATACCATTCGTCGCCATTCACTCCTATCGAACACGCTCATGCACACCTGCTGGAAGTCCAAGCCCCTCGCCCACAAAACCTCCCTCACCCCTTCCTTCCAACCTTTTCGAGGACGACCCCTACCCCGCCTTCCTTCTACAGATTTAAATGCTCTCCATGTCATTCTACTTTGATCCATTCTCTCTAAATGACCAAACCACCTCAACAACCCCCTCTTCAGCCCTCTGACTAATACTTTTATTAACTCCACACTCCGAATTTTCTGCATAATATTTACACCACATATTGCCCTTAGACAGGACATCTCCACTGCCTCCAACCGCCTCCTCGCTGCTGCATTCACAACCCAAGCTTCACACCCATATAAGAGTGTTGGTACTACTATACTTTCATACATTCCCTTCTTTGCCTCCATAGATAACGTTTTTTTTTGTCTCCATATATACCTCAACGCACCACTCACCTTTTTTCCCTCATCAGTTCTGTGATTAACCTCTTTCAACACGCATAGCTTACGGAGGAAGAATTCTGTTCCACTTCCTCATGGAGGTAAGAGGAAATAAACAAGAACTAGAAAGAAAATAGCAGAAAATCCAGAGGGGTGTGTGTATATATATATGCTTGTACACTGTGTAGTGTGACCTAAGTGTAAGTAGAAGTAGCAAGACGTACCTGTAATCTTGCATATTTATGAGACAGACAAAAGACACCAGTAATCCTACCATCATGTAAAACAATTACAGGCTTTCGTTTTACACTCACTTGGCAGGACGTAGTACCTCTCTGGGTGGTTGCTGTCTACCAACCTCGTCCTTCATAAATCCATCCGCCGACACGTCAACTCCCAAGTACCTGAAAACATTCACTTCTTCCATACTCCTCCTCCCCAATTTGATATCCAATTTTTCTTTATCTGAGTCATTTGATACCCTCATCACCTTACTCTTTTCTATGTTCACTTTCAACTTTCTACATTTACACACATTCTCAAACTCATCGACTAACCTTTGCAGTTTTTCTTTAGAATCTCCCATGAGCACAGTATCATCAGCAAAAAGCAACTGTGTCAATTCCCATTTTGTATTTGATTCCCCATAATTTAATCCCACCCCTCTCCCGAACACCCTAGCATTTACTTCTTTACAACCCCATCTATAAATATATTAAACAACCATGGTGACATTACACATCCCTGTCTAAGACCTACTTTTACTGGGAAGTAGTCTCCTCCTCTTCTACACACCCTAACCTGAGCCTCACTATCCTCATAAAAACTCCTTTACAGCATTTAGTAACTTACACCTATTCCTATATACGTACTTGCAACAAATTTTTCCACTAGTTGTTCCCCATCCACTCTACCAATTTTTCCTAAGGAATATTTGAAAGTTAGATTAGTCCATTTCAGACCCCCAAACATACACATAAAAACCACTTGCATAAATACACTTACAAATTGGTCGCAATTCGGAGGTGATCGTATGCGGGGGTCCACTGTACTTGCACATCCCCAATAATACATGCTCCTCTATCCACTCTACATATCCTTTTCTAAATCCTATAATGCATCCCCCCCTAATAAACTTCCTACTTTTATCTAATACGTTCACCAAAATATGCTTCATGTAACACTTGATCTACCCCCATCCCCTACCCCACTCTTGAAAACCTCCTTGCTCATCCGCAATCCTACATTCTGTCTTACCTCTAATTCTTTCAATTATAACCCTACCGTACACCTTTCCTGGTATACTCAGTAAACTTATTCCTCTATAATTTTTACAGTCTCTTTTGTCCCCTTTCCCTTTATATAAAGGGACTATACATGCTCTCTGCCAATCCCTAGGTACCTTCCCCTCTAAATTTGAAACTACCCAAAGTCCTAGCCTCAAATCACCCAACTAGGTAGACTGTTCCACTCATCAACTACCTTATTTCTAAACCAATACTTTCCTATGTCCTTTCTAAATCTAAACTTATCTAATTTAAATCCATTACTGCGGGTTCTCTCTTGGAGAGATATCCTCAAGACCTTATTAATATTCCCTTTATTAATACCTAACTTCCACTTATACACTTCAATCAGGTCTCCCCTCATTCTTCGTCTAACAAGTGAATGTAATTTAAGAGTCTTCAATCTTTCGTCATAAGGAAGATTTCTAATGCTATGTATTAATTTAGTCATCCTACGCTGAATGTTTTCTAACGAATTTATGTCCATTCTGTAATATGGAGACCAGAATTGAGTTGCATAATCTAGGTGAGGCCTTACTAATGATGTATAAAGCTGCAGTATGACCTCTGGACTTCTGTTGCTTACACTTCTTGATATAAATCCCAGTAATCTATTTGCCTTATTACGTACGCTTAGGCATTGCTGTCTTGGTTTAAGGTTGCTGCTCACCATAACCCCCAAGTCCTTTTCGCAATCTGTGTGGCTAAGTTCTACATCATTTAACTTATAAGTACTAGGGTTATGGACACTCCCGAGCTTCAGAACCTTGCATTTATCTACATTGAACTGCATCTGCCACTTTGTGGCAGATGCAGTTCAATGTAGATAAATGCAGAGGCGATGTAGATAAATGCAGAGGCGATGTAGATAAATGCAGAGGCGACTAAAATGCCGGGAGCAAGGGGCTAGTAGCCCCTTCTCCTGTATAAATTACTAAATTTAAAAAGAGAAACTTTCGTTTTTCTTTTTGGTCCACCTTGCCTTGGTGGGATACGGCCGGTTTGTTGGAAAAAAAAAAAAAAATTTAAACACATCAGCTGTTTCCCACCAAGATAGGGTGACCCCAAAAGAAAGGAAAAAACTTTATTTATCATTCAACACTTTCATCATCACTCATACATAAACACTGTCTTTGCAGAGGTGCCCAGATACGACAGTCTAAATAGTCACTCCAAACTGCCAATATCCCAAACCCCTCCTTTAAAGTGCAGGCATTGTACTTCCCATTTCCAGGACTCAAGTCCAGCTAACCGGTTTCCCTGAATCCTTTCACAAAATATTACCCTGCTCACACTCCAACAGCTTATCAGGCCCCAAAAACCATTTGTCTCCATTCACTCCTATCTAACACGCTCACGCATGCATTTATTTATTTGTTTTGTATGTGAAAAAGATAGATTGATGAATTAAAAATGTAAGGCTTTCACTTAATGAAAAAGATAAATGTAGATGAATGGTTTGATAAATTAGACACATGTACAACACTTGGGTATCTTTAATGTAAGAAATAGATTTGTAAAGTAAAAGGACACAAGTGCAACTAATGTGACATTTTATTGTGGCAACGTTTTGCTCTCCAGGAGCTTTATCAAGCCATTACTGTAATGGCTTGATAAAGCTCCTGGAGAGCAAAACGTTGCCACAATAAAATGTCACATTAGTTGCACTTGTGTCCTTTTACTTTACATATTGTTGGTAATTCTACCAACTTTATTACAAGAAATAGATTTCAGGAGTAAAAGTTTATTAGGGTTTACTCTAGGTCTTAGGCTGAAGTTAACTATTTTACCCTCAGTGAGTACCCCATGAAGCATGGAAGCTACAAAAAAAGAATATTAAGTTCTTCTTTCAACACACCGGCCGTATCCCACCAAGGCAGGGTGGCCCAAAAAGAAAAACGAAAGTTTCTCTTAAATTTAGTAATTTATACGGGAGAAGGGGTTACTAGCCCCTTGCTCCCGGCATTTTAGTCGCCTCTTACAACACGCATGGCTTACGGAGGAAGAATTCTGTTCCACTTCCCCATATTAACCTTTGACTGTCGCGGCCGTATATATACGTTTACGATGTACCGTGTTTGACGTATATATACTCATAAATTCTAGCGGCTTCAAATCAGGCAGGAGAAAGTTGGTAGGACCACATGTGAGAGAATGGGTCTGTGTGGTCAGTGTGCACCATATAAAAAAAATCCTGGAGCACGCAGTGCATATTGAGAAAAAAAAAACTCCGACCGTTTTTTTTTTTAATTAAAATGCCGATTTTGTGGTCTATTTTCGTATAGTATTTGTGGTTGTATTCTCATTTTATTGGTCTCATTTGATAGAATGGAAACTATATTATAGAAATAGAGGTGATTTTGATTAATTTTACTATAAAAAGAACCTGGAAATGGAGCACAAAGTACGGGAAATGTTTGATTTTTGCCGATGTTCAAAAGTAGACAAATGATGTCATTGTCCAATAAATGTCCAAATAGCCATTCTAATATGCAGTCATGAATGGGTTGATGTAATTTTTACAATTATTACAGTATTGCAGTAGTCTGCATAACAGTAAATCTTCTATTTTTTGTTTGAATAAAATTTCAAAATAAAAAGCAAGAGTAATATCAGAGGGGCCTGGAGACATGACTGATGAACAAAGAAAATGTTATTTTAGAGCCAGGAATGTCTGCATTGTTTATTCTGGTCCTTATTTTGAAATTGTCATATTTTTTAATTTTCGTGAAATTGGCCAAATTGCAAATTTCTGACCATGTTATTGGGTAGTTGAAATCTGTAAATGGGCAGTTTCTTGTATCACTTGATGGAAAAAATGGAGTTCTGAAGAAATAGCTATGAGTTTGGTTGACTGGAATAATGGAATTAGCCGAAAATAGGGCTCAAAGTGGGCGAAATCGCCGATTTGTAAATATCGCCGAGGTCGCTAACTTCCGAGAGCATAATTCCTGTCAGTTTTCCATCAAATTTCGTTTTTTTTGGTGTCTTTACAATCGGGAAAAGATCCTCTATCATTTCATAAGAAAAAATAATTTTTTTTTTTTTAAATTTTGCGACACCAGGAGACACCTCAGGATTGGGGGTTGCGACAGTCAAAGGGTTAAGTTACGCTTGTTAAAGTTAGCATTTTCTCATAATTTTGACTTTCATCAGAGGCTGAGGTCTCTTCTTTGCTCTTCAGGTTACTCAATATTTGTGGTGGATGGTAGCCTACCTCCATCAGAGGCAGATGAAAAACTGCGTCTACATCCTGCTCAGCAGACCGTCAAGCCGAGACTTCTATCTGAGGTATGCTCCCACATACAGTATTTTTCATTAATTTTTTTTTTAATTTGTGGATTGTTGAGTAATTGCTAAGGAAATTTTTCCAATACAAAATTGAATCAGACATATTAAAAGCCCATAAAACAGACCATGAAGTGTAGAGGGGCCTTACCTGTTCTCAAGAAAATTGGCAAAAATCAAATATTTTCCCTACTTTGAGCCCAATTTCAAGCTACTTCCAGTCCTACAACCAACCAAAATCATCTCTATTTCGGTAGGATGTCTTCCATTCTGTTGAATGATACCAAGACACAGCCAGTGAAACCATAAAATCATTATAGAAAACACCTGTAAGTTGCTATTTTAAACAAAAAACCATGGCCACAGTCTTGCTTATCTTCACATATTGCATGAGACAGGATTTTTTATACTATGCACACTCACCATTCGGACCCATTCTCTCATATCTAAGCCAAAATTTACTGCTCTCAACTTACCTGAGTGAACTAAGCTCATGACATAGAACTGTGTGAAGGACCCTAGTCTCAGTGACGTAGTTCTATGTGACAGCCACTGGAGGGGTTAAATTTGTGTATATATAAGAAGTGGAAAATATGGACATGCTAATTTCATTGTGCCTTTGTAATTAAACTTTGACTAGGTATCAGTGGAGCAAAGAAATAGCAAAGATGATGGAGACCTGAAAGCTGCTCTGGCTGCCAGTCTGGCTAATGTTGGGTTGCCCTATAATCAACAAAGTGAACCACCTCATTCAGGGGAGTATGATGAATTACAAGCAGCCATACAGATGTCTCTCCAAAATTCCTCAACGCCTAAGTCAAGTGGGTAGTCATTCATCAGATCACTTTTATTAATCTCAGTCTTTTACATAGTAGTTTTTTAACACTGAACATTTTTTTATTTATTTATACATACAGTAGAACCCCCTGTATCTGCAGATTCAGTTTCCACTGTTTCAGTTATCCACTGCTTACCATGGCCCAAAAATAACACTTAATTTTGCTTAATAATGGCCACAAAGTAAAGAAGTGACACTGGCAGTTCTTCAAAGCTAAGAGAACCCGTGAAATGCTTCCCATCAGTGAAAAGTGTTAATTCTTGACTTACTGTGCATAAATTATCAGTTAAGTTTTATCATAGGTATGTGTGTAAATGAAAAGCAACTTATAGGGTTCGCTACTATCCATGGTTACGGATATCCACAGTAGGACTTGGAACATATCCCTCGTGGACACGGGGGACTACTGTATGTATATAAAAAATATATGTAAACACACACATGGGGCTAGGAGCTATGACTCAACCCCTGTAACCACAAACAGGTGAGTACACACACATGTATGTATGTATGTTATATTTGTATTTTAGGGTGGTCCATACTCTGTAGTACTCTCAGCCCTCCCCCCCCCCCCCAAAAAAAAAAAAAAAAAAAAATGTTCTCTTATCAGTTTTCAATACATGCAGAAACAATCCCTGCAAATTTTCAAAGAAAACAGATTGACTTTAGAGGTGCCTCATGGGTATTTTAGTTTAATATTTTACTTTTTGGTTTTCTTTTTTCTTCTTTTTTCTAACAGTTTGGCAAGTACATTTCAATTCTTAGTATGCAGGAGGTGCTGCAGTATTTATTTTAACTTGTGCAACTATATTAGCCTCAATAACATGCTCATAATGAAAGGACGATAAGCAGTAGAAATGCTGTTTGTTACATCTGCATCCCCTGCACGTTTAGGTGAAAATATAAAAGAGCTGAATATCAACAGATCCTCGATATGCAGGGCAAGAATGCGCTACCGCTTTAATATTGAATGTCGACTCACAGAAGACTTCATCGTCCAGTTCCATGGTCCTGTAGTAATCCACTTGGATGGCAAGTTGCTTCCTGATCTTACTGGACAATGAGAAAGTTGGTCTTCACATTCTGGTGTCAGGATCTGGAGTGCAGCATCTCCATTTAATACCAAAGTTAAACAAGGGTACTGGAGCTACAGTAGCTGAAGTGCTTGATTCAACTTTTGAAGATTGGGGAATCAAAGAGCTGGTTTGTGGTATGACCTTTGTTTGTGGCATGGCTGTGTTCCCACACGATGTCTCTTAGAGACTTTCATCTTCTGAAACATTTAAAGGATATTACCATTTATTTTGTTTTTATTAGAATTAGATTTGACTTTGGTCAACCAATAACATATTATTGTGTGGGATATTAATAGGTAGCATTTAGTAAAATGTATTATTAACAAACTATTATCTACATAAATATTAAATAGTTTTTATTTGTCTTTAATCAAAATAAACTACAGTAATATGTAAAGTGAACACTAATTTCTTCAGGGCATCAATTTTTGTGGGTAAAGTGCAGCAGCATGAGAATATTTTTAAATCTGCTGCTGCATGGCTTGTATTCACTTGACCTGAGGACACTTCATGTATTGTCTCATCCAGAACACTGGGGGGTCAATGCCTCAGCATTGACCCCTGAAACCCTCTCCAGGTATACTCCAGGTATACCTCCTTAAGTTACTTCATCTCCCATTCTTCCTCAAGAGAGAATAGTGATGAGGGTCTCGTGATTCAAGGAAGTGAACCTATCCTTCGCTTCTTTGGATTGAATCTGATTATCTCATTCCCTATGTGCAGTATGACCCCTATGGGTTTAGCACTTCCTTGGCTACAATAATAATTGAGGAGTAACAAAAATAAGGGACGTAAAAGAAGTAAATGCTAGGGTGTGGAATTGGAAGCTGGTGAATCTGGTACAGAATGGAAGTTCCCACAGTTACTTTTTTCCAGTGACACAGGGTTTTTTGGGTAAACAAATTTGGGAGGGTATGTAATAGAAGGAAATTATATGTGACCATAGGAAATAGCAACGTGATGAGAATATAAATAAATTAGTTAATGAGAAATTGTATATCAGATTGGAGGGAAGGCATATAGACATTTGGGAGTAGACTTGAAGGCAGATGGTTTTACATGAGATGAAGCAAACCATAGAATTGATGAAGGAAAAATGGTGGGTGGTGCATTAAAATATCTGTGGAGACAAAGAACTTTGTCAGTGAAGGCAAAAAGGGGATTTTTTTTTTTTAATAAGTCGGCAGTCTCCCACCGAGGCAGGGTGACCCAAAAAGAAAGAAAATCCCCAAAATAGTTTCATCATCATTCAACACTTTCACCTCACTAACACATAATCACTGTTTTTGCAGAGGTGCTCAGAGTACAAAAGCTTAGAAGCATATACGTATAAAGATACGCAACATATCCCTCCAAACTGCCAATATCCCAAACCCCTCCTTTAAAGTGCAGGCACTCAAGTCTGGCTATATAAAAATAACAGGTTACCCTGAATCCCTTCACTAAATATTACCCTGCTCACACTCCAACAGCTCATCAGGTCCCAAATACCATTTGTCTCCATTCACTCCAATCTAACATGCTCATGCATAAGTATAGTGATATCAACACTATTTTGAGTGTGAAGCAAAGGTTTTGAAGCAGTAGAGATATGTTTGTGGGTGATGTGTGATGCGAATATTATACAGAAAATTTGGATTTTGGAGATTATGACACAGAGTGGAGTTACCAAAAGTATTATTCAGAAGGCTGGGGAGGGTTTGTTAAAGTGGTTTGGACATTTAGAGTGTGTGGAGGAAAAAAAAGGATGACTAGTATGTCTTATAAATCTGGGGTGGAGTGAAGCAGGGATAGGGGTCCTCCTAGGAAAGGTTGGAAGAAGAGGGTAAAGGTTTTGAGTGCTATGGGCTTGGACATTCAACATGCTTGTGTGAGCATGTTCGATAGCAGAGAGTTAAGGCAAGTGTCTTTTATGATTTGACATGATATTGGAATGTGAGGAAGGTAACACGAAGGGAAATTGGTTAGCCAGACTTGAGTCTTTGAAGTGAGAAATAGTGCCTGCATTCTAAAGGAGGTGTGGGGATGTTACTGGTTGGGGAGGTCATCTGAATTGTGATGTGGGCACCTTTCTGGCAAGATGTTGTTTTCTTTTTTGTCAAGTCATCCTACCTCAGTGGGAGAAGGCTAGAGTTTAAAAAAAAATTCCCTATCCCCTCCCTAACCTCCCTCCCTCACATGAACAACTGAACATACAAACCATCTCAGAAGTGAATCAGAACTATCTTGTTCCACATTGATCCTGTGTTTACCAAGGACATTTTTTTTTATTTTAATATCACTACATCACTCTTATTATTTTTTTTTTCATATTAACCATGGCACCTAGATACTAATGATGCTGGAAGTTCATTGATGATGCTTAAACTTGAATCTGTGATGATGCAGGAGAAAGTAAAATGTGTTGGATAAGCTCTGAGGAAATGCTTGCATAATGGATTTGGCCTGTTAACATGATGTTAAATCAACAGTTCATGCAATTAGAATGAGAATGTGACAACTGTGTGGTGTTATGTTTCAGGGTTAACAGCAACATTTCTAGTTACAGTATGCTCTGAGGCACCAGCAAATATTAATTTGATTTGTACAAAATTTCTTAGTTCTTTATTTCTCGCCCAGTTTAAAATATTGAAAGATTAAGGGCATGAATTTTTAGATAGCTATCTTTAAATAAGGACCACCCTAAATTTTATACTGTGGTAGTAGAATAACCTGTAGAGTATAATACATTGGAGACTTGCTTTAGTGCAAGATGGAGTTGTTCAGTCCTGTTTCAGATAAATTGCTTTGGGATTTAGGACTGTTAGAACCTTCCTATTTCTTTGTGGCAATAAGGATTCTGTTATTGCAAACTCAAATTACATCCCAGAATGGAAACCTCTTGGATTAACATTTAAGTCTTCATGCATACACTCCATTTTATTTTGTTGGAAATGAGTAAAACTCCTAATTACATAAATTTTCCACACCAGACAGTGACTTGGAGAGAGCCCTACAAGAGAGTCTATCTAGCAAGACACACACAGTCAGCCTGAGGGACCAAGTTAGTACAGGACCCTCCACTGATGATGAGCACCTGCAGGCAGCCATTCGCTTGAGTCTTGGTCAATACAGTCCAGAAGTTGCTGGTATGACTTCCGTTTTGTATACATGGAGGTGATCTCAGTCAACCATTTGACTAGCATTAACTTTAATTGTATGTTTAATGTATTTATTCCACTCCTATTAATTAATTGTGAAATAAGTTGGGTAAGTGCATGGATGAGGTATAATAAATGGGTAAATTAAGGTGCACATTATGGAGGGGTTGTTCAGGTGGTTCAGACATGTAGAAAGAATGGAACAAAATAGAATGACTTCAGTCTAGGAGAGGTTGGAGGGAGGGGGTAAAGGAGGTTTTGTGTGCAAGGGGCTTGGACTTCCAGCAAGCGTGAGCGTGGGAATCGGCTGATGTGTTAATAAAAAAAAATTATGGTTGAAGCAAAAACTATTGGAAAATATGATTTTGGTAGCAACACTTTCTCTCTGGATTGGGCCGTGTGAGACATTGCTTGGGAATTTAGTTTTGTACCAAAACTCTTACTGTAAAAAATAGCCCTTTTGTCTAATTTTCAGTCTGCACTTACTAAAAGAGACATTTTGAAGCTAGGCCATTGGAATGTGCATTTGCATAGCAAAATTGTCAAAAAAATAACTAATTGCTAATGTTATGAATGAAAGGAGGTGGATGTCTTAGCACCGAGTGATACAAGGTTAAAAGAAGTTTGAGTGCGAATGGGGAAGGGTAAGTGGGATGAAGTGAAGTGTATCCAGGAGAGCTTAAAATAAAGGAGGAGTAGCAGTAATATTAATGAACAGTTTTAGAAAGAAGAGTGGGCATAAATTATTTTTTCTTCAGAAATGGTAGAGAATCCTGTCCTGAAGGTAATGAAACCAAAAAAAACAAAATTTGATGGAAAACTTTCGGAATTACGCAGGTGTAAATTTAGCAGTCTGGGCGCATTTTACACCAGCAATTTCGCAACCTTTGAGTCCCATTTAAAGCCAATTCCATGGCTCAATTTGACTAAGTTCTTAGCTAGTATGCCTTCCATTCTGTTGATTCAGTACAAGAAACTGCTTATTCAACTATCAAAACTACCCTGTGAAGTGCACAGAATTCGGTAATTTGGCCACTGTTAAGCAAAATTAAAAAATTCCAGTTTAAAAATGCTAATATAAACAATGTAGACATTGCAAACACTAAAACACCATTTCCTTTTTGCAGTAATCACGTCCCCAAGCCTCTCCTATGTTACACTTGCCTTCCATTTTGAATACATCACCCAAAAATTTAAGATTAACCATTTCTCGGATAATAAAATATAACCAGGAATGATTTGTCATGGTTTGTGGCATCCGAATAATTGGACCACATCTAGTAAAACCCATAAAACAGACTGGGGTGGGCTTACCCATCCTCAGGAATATTGGCAAAAATTTAATATTTCCACTACTTTGAGGCCAACTTTAAGCTTCTTCCAGTCCTGGAACCCACTAAAATAATTTCTGTATCAGTAGAATGTCCTCCATTCTGTCAAATGATACCAAGAAACAGTCAATAAAACCATAAAAACCATCCTAGAACCCCCTTCCCCCCCAAAGTCACTATTTTAAACCTAACACTAGGTCAGAGTTCTGCTTTTCCCATCATGCACTGTATGAGGCAGGATTTTCTTACTGCACAGACTTGTGTCTCTTATATCTAGGCCAAAGGTTACCACTTGCTGTTTTTCTGAGTGAGCTGAGCTCATGACGTAGATGTACATGATGGACCTTGGCCTCAGTGACATAGTTCTATGTGATAGACAGTCAAAGGGCTAAACAAACAAGAGGATTTAGGAAGGGAAGGGACTGTAAATCAAGATGTAATTTTGAGAAACCATTGATTTTCCACACTACAGATAATGATCTGGAGAGAGCACTGCAAGCTGAGCATGTCAGCAGAGGAGGAGCAAAGCAACCTAGTAGGAGGCCAAGTTGCTGCTGGTCCATCTAACAATGACAGTCACCTTTTTAGTAATCTGGGTCATCACATTCCAGAGACTTCTGGTATGTACAATGTCTGTAATTGCTATACTTTCTGGCATATAATTTTTTTTTTTTCCCAGAAAATGCCACATAAAAATCACTCTGCACTTTACATGTTCAAAGTCAGGGACAAGGGTAGGCTTTATGTTACTGTTTCCTAGATTACTTTACTGATTAGTAACTATTATAAGTTATATTTTACATATTACTGGTATGTAATAAGCAAACCATCCTCACTGGCTGTGAATAACTGTAAGGTAGCGGTCTGTAAAGAACAGATAGCCATGTGACAGTGAAGCAGATGACAGACTGTGCAGGGTCCCATTCTTTCAGCTACATTGTGTGCATTAGCAGTCAGCCACTGACTCTCTATCATTTTGAAGCAAATATTGCTTCCTAGAATATGCCTGTCAAAATTGGGATGTGTCATACATGTATATGCTAGAAAATATGGTACTGAGTTTGTGGATAGTTGGAGTGGGAAGAGGGTTTTAGCTCCAGCTCTTGGTTCTGCCTCTTTCAACAGACTAATGTAATTGAATCCTTTTAGCAAAAGCCATCATGGCTCCTTCCGTGCAAGAGTTAGCAGATACCTCCATGCAAACTGAGCTAAATACCCTGGTCATGGTTGATATCTTCACTTTCACACACTTTTGGAGTTCTTAAAAAATAGGCTCCCATTCTTTGTAGACTTAAGTTTCTAATAGCTTTCTTTACACTCAGTTTGGCCTTCATCCGAACATCATGTTTGGAGCACACGGAATAACTTCTGTATACACTGAGCACTGCATCTTTAACATTTATTGCAGTGACATTGTTGACTATGTAGCTTAGTGTGGAGATCATGAATTCAAACTTATTGAAGTTCTTCCAGGTTCCATCGGCACGGAGGAGCCAGACCTTGAGGAAGTACGGCAAAGGCGTCTGGCATTCCTGAGTAAGCAGACACCATGACCTCCATAGAGTTAAGACTTGAGTGAGGAAACTTGTAATGTATTTGTGAACTATCACATTAGTTGCCTTTATGGAATATGATTCCACACTTCGTTCAACATGAATGTGCCCATTTTCTAAGAAATGCCAGTATACAAATACCAAACTGGATAAGAATCAGCGATACTTGGATCAATTTGTGCATGGATGTTAGAGTGAGATCAAGAACAAATAATTATTTGTACGTGCATAAGCATGTGTGGGTCCTTTCTTTAGTGAGTTTAATGGTGCAACTGGTGCATGAGGAATCTTTATGGCAAAAAACTTTATGTAAATTAAAGCTTCTGTAACCTTCTCAGTGAACATTACAAAGAATTGAACTGGAGAAAATACATTTTGGTTGATAAGTATCATAATAATGGTACAGTAATTGATATTACATAATATACAGTCATGTGTTTTGAATTCAGTTCAGGTCATAAGCTGTCAGTAGAATTGTGTACCTGTAAAGTCACTTGTACCTTACCATTCTCCTTTACAAGCAAACAAATGTAGTAGTTCTATGACGTTCTTCTTAAATTTGCTGTTCTTTGCATACTTTAATCATCTTCCATGAATGTTTGTTTTTCCATTTGTCTTTTGACTGATTACTTAAATCTTCACAGGCTTTTTTTTATTCATATTTGTCTAAATAGTTACTTGTGTTTTGTTATAATCTTTGATATATATGTTTTACACTCAGCCTCCCATCATTTAGCTCTTCTATTTTTCTGTCTCTTATTTTCTCAATTTCTTCCATTCCACCTGAATTCTGGATTGTACTAATGATGCTCTATGTTTGTTTCTTTTCTTTGTGCTTATTACAAATCTTTCTTTTACTATTTGCCACATTACTTGCCTCAACAATTTCTTACATTGCCTTACCATTCATTTCCATTTCTCATTATGTATTGAAAATTGCTCATGACTTTATAGCTCCTCCTTCTGTAATCTCCTTTCCTTTTTGCCTCTTCCTTCATTCGTCTCTCCAGATTCATTTCCTTTAGGAATTTCAGCAGCACCGAATGACCCTTAGTAGTGGCGATTTATTTATATAATAAATTATAAGTAGGAAAGAAACAAAAATATTAATTTTAAGCTGTGTTGAATAAGAAAGTCATCTCTTAAGCTTTATAGTTTAGTGGAATCCAAGAATTTTATAGCAACTTAGATATTCAAAACTTAAAATAGCATGATGACACCTAGTGATTCACGTTGTCAGTTTCTCTCACATTATCTTCATTGAGATTGAAAACCACATAATGTCTTGTCAGCTTATCTTTCTAATTCTTTATTGCTATCCTTATCTGATGTGTCTATCCTATTAGAATTTTTAAATATTCTTATTTTGAACATAGATCTTACACTGACAAAAGTTTTAGTTTTTGCATTCTTTCTTTAATGCTCATTCCCTCTTCAGGCACTACTTTTAATACCTGCCTCTGTATTTTTTTCATTTCATGTAATGTTTTGCTAGGTGAGGGTTTTGTCCTGTCACTGGATGAGGTAAAGAATATTTTAAACCAGTTTTTGTCAAGATTTTGAATGTTGCTCTTATGTCTACAAGTTTAGCCTGTTCTGCTGATATTCTGTTATGCGAACATCAGGAGTAAATTTGGGTGATGGTTATTCTAAAGTTTTAATCTTTAACTGTTTCTGTGAGTTAGCTGGCTATGAATCAGGGGTCATGAATACCGGGGTCTGTCAGTAGAGAATGGTTGAAGTGTGGGTGTAGAATGATAGTGCAGGAGTAGGTGAGTATGGGTATTTGTGGGGTGGAGGCAGTCCATTCAGTGGTGGGGGTATTAGGTAGGTGTATGGGTGTGGGGGGAGGCATCGACTGGTGTTTGTGGTAAGTGGGGTTTCATATGGGTGACGGTTGGTGGATAAGTCTTGTGTGGGCAGTATGGTGATGATAGAGGGATTCAGGGGGTGGGGGATTGTAAGGAAGTTGGCAGATGGGTGAAATTGGTTGGAGGTGAGATGGCTGTGAGTGGTGTTAATATTAAAGTGATAGATAATGTATGGGTTGGGGGAAAAGGTCTGCCAGTGGTTGGAATCTATATTTTCTAGTTAATCTCACCAAAGTTCAGATTGATTTGTTTCTCAAAGATTTTTGCCCTATGTCACAAAATACTTAGAATTTTTTTTGTTACTTTTACTGATGCTCACTTTGTTCAAAGATCTTATCTTTTAACCGATTCTTTTAAAAAATAGTTTGAACAGTCTCTGGGAATCAGCTATATATGCTCCTATTGTGTGCTGGCATGTCTGTGTGTCTGTCTTTGTGTGTGAGAGTGAGAGAGATTGTGATATAATTGGCTACTAGAAGTAATCCAAGTTGGCTTAGTTCATGTAATACAGTAGCATTAAATATTTTTTTCGTGTGCATTTCCAGAAGTGGGTGGGTGCATGTGTGCAAGGTAGTTTGTGCTGATTCTTAAAAATTTATTACATATTGCTATCATATCTTAATATATTATCAATTCTCATTTTCTATTGCATTAAGCCTTTTTGCTATTTGTAATAATATCACAAATATTTTCTTTGGTGGTTTATAACAGTCTCTTGCTTTTAGTCACAGAATGCACAAATTGTGGTAGTTATAATGTTTTTATGGAGTATTTCACTAGTGTATATTGCTGCAGGAGATAGCCTGCATTTGGGCCAAACAAAAATATTTGTGGTTCCAGTCCCAAGGTGAAATAAATAATAGTGATAATTTTCATGATTTTTTTTTTTTTTTTACAAATATGTTTTGTTACTTATTGCTGTGATGATTTATTTTACATTATGAACTTACATTTTCTTCATTGTAAAATTTTATTTGTTTTTTCTAATAATTTTAGTGTAAGGTGCAAATGTTTAAATAAATATTGTACAGTAGTTGTGAACTTTGTCAATTTTTTAACTAAAACTACAGTCGTTTTAGGGGCTTGAGCATCCAGCAGGTTTGTGTATGTTAGATAGGAGTGTATAGAGGCAAGTGGTTTTTAATTAATGAATGTGCTGTTAGAATGTGAAGGAATTCAGGGAAACCAGTTAGCCAGACTTGAGTCCTGGAGGTGAGAAGAGTAATGCCTGCACCCTGAAGGAGAGGTGGGGATGTTGCAGCATGAGGAGTAAACTGATCGTGATGTCAGCACACTTATAGAAAGACAGAGATTGAATGAATGATGGTTGAACATGTTTTCTATGGGTCATCTTGTCTTGGCAAGAGACAACCATTGAGGAAAAAAAAATACAATAATTTTTTTTTTCAACAAACTGGCCACATCCCACCGAGACAGGGTGGCCCAAGAGGAAAAATGAATGATTCTCTTTTTAATTTAGTAATTTATACAGGAGAAGGGGTTACTAGCCCCTTGCCCCTAGGATTTTAGTCACCTCTTACAACATGCATGGATGATGATAATTATGTACAGTGGAACCTTGGTATGCGACCTTAAATCATTCCAGAAGGCTGTGCGAGTGCCACACCATCTGAATATTGAACAAGTTCTTCCCAACCAATTTTCTGTTTGGTTGGCTGTTATCACTAATCTTCGTAGGCCCCATGGTGACTTATTTATACAAATACAAAATAACACCCAAAAATGCAAAGAAACACTAAATAGTTTACAGCGAAATTCTGGCAGGTCGTGTTTGTTTGGTCAAGTGCTGAGCTTTGTTCAAGTAGGGAGCTGGTCGTATACAGAGGTTCCACTGTACTTTTATTGCTTATGGTGTTCTGAAGTACTATTATGCTATGTCTTTTTTGAGAATACAAACAAGTTTATTTTATGCTTGCTTGTTTAAAGATTATACTAAAATAAAAGTAGAAATACTGTACATAAAAAAAATGAATAAATTATGGGCACTGCTGAAATACTAGTTACTATTTTTGTTGATGATTATCTTCATGTGTTAGAGTAATACCATGCTAATTTATAATGTAGTTTATTAAACCAGTAAATTTTTATTTAAGTACTGGGGGAATGGCAACATTTGCTTTATGAAGCACAAAACATAAGTTCATTATTAAATGCAGCCTCAGTGTTCTAATTTTTGAAAATGTTGACAGTAATTTACAACATCAAGAGTATGTACATATTTGATCTCTTAAGTTGTTGGCCATCCCCAGGTTAAAATTGAACTGAAATATTTACCTTGTATGTGCAGGTGGAGGGAAAAGGGGAGGGGGACAAAAATGTTTGGGAGAGATTCAGCATATGTGAACTTTCACAAGTCTTGCTGGAAATGAGACTCCAAGATATTAGTATTAATTAAAACATGCACTTGATGAAAGATGCTGCATGGGTATATACATCAGGCATAATGGCAAACATTTTGTAAGTCATTTAGGTGCTTTCTAATTAACTGTTGCTTATCCTGAAAAGTTTTGTAAGTAATGAAAATTTTATTCAGTATACTAGCCAAGCAAAATGTTATGTTGCATATGTGTGAGTGCTCCCCCTCAACAAAAGGTTTTATGAACCGGAGCATCTGATCTCAGTAGGATGCATATTTGGCAAACCTTGGATTTAATGGACTAATGTGGATGGGAGTGATAATGGCACCTGTAGTGAATCGAAATAAAAAATTTTGCTGTGATCGCAACAATGGTAGACAATTCTGTAAAGAATGACTTCGTCCATTGTTTGCGAATCAGTTGACCCGGTGGATTTTGTCCCATATTTCCGAGTCTTGTAAATTAAGGGTTTTCTATTATTACCAACTAAACTGATGGTGGTCTCAGTCAGAGTGAAAAAAGTAAAGGCTTTAAAACTAACCAACCTCTTGAGAGGTCTTTTCTGCATTGTGAAGTGCTTTTTGTGGAGTGTAATTGATCTGTACATATTGAAGTCTGGTCTGTTGGCATTGCTTATTTCATAAACATGTTGTACCTTGACATTTAATGTTATTCATTATACAATACAGTGATGGTTCTCATTTGTACAGTGTATTATGAATGTGAACACCTATTGAATTACAGCATTTAAAGCTTAGGGAACTGAAAAGGTAAGTTGGATATTTTTTGTTAGATTGTGAGGGTGAGTGAAATAACTTGATTAACTATTATTTATGTTTCTTATATATCTTTATAAGTACGTAATTAAGAATGTTGCACCAAATGAAACTGACATACCAAAGTGAGGATTTACTGGATGATTAAGTGATGATCTCCTTTATTTACAGTGCTCTTGTGTTAAGTGTGAGCTTCATAGGAAAATGTTTCACTCAGGAGCAATCATCCAATAAAAGAGACAACAAAAGCTCTTGCTTTAGCCAAAGGTCTTGGAATAAAATGCTCATCTTGCTAAATGTCAGATTTTATGACTGTCAGTTTGCCAGTTGTTTGGGCTTAAATATTAAAATACAGTGGACCCCCGGTTAACGATATTTTTTCATTCCAGAAGTATGTTCAGGTGCCAGTACTGACCGAATTTGTTCCCATAAGGAATATTGTGAAGTAGATTAGTCCATTTCAGATCCCCAAACATACATGTACAAACGCACTTACATAAATACACTTACATAATTGGTCGCATTGGGAGGTGATCGTTATGCGGGGGTCCACCGTACTTAAAATCGTTTAGTTTCCTGAGCAGAGGATGTGGTTTTTTATTTCCTGTCCCTCAAAGATTTAAATATGTATTTTAGAATAGTGCACTATGAAACATTACAAAAAAGAAATCAGTTTAATTTCCAGTATCCTTTTGAATAGGCTGCATCCTCTAAGGATGAAAAATAGAGAATTATTTTTGTGAATTATAAAGAATTATTCATTACAGTGTTGGATCCATGGTGGTACTGTACATTAAAAGTGTGGGTGAAAGGTAGCAGTCCTCTTTAATTTTGAGGGTGAAAAAATAATGAAATTAACTCTGTATCTCTAATTTCACATGCATATTTTTCCATGTTGTCATTCACATCAGTGGTAGTAAGCGTGACTGAAGTTGACATAATCAGAGTCAGTATTTCAAAATTATTGTGCATAAAAAAAAAAAAAAAAGTCTGAATGTCAAAGGATGCATAACATTTCAAACAAAGCTTAATCTAGTCTTATGATCTACAAAGTATTATTATTATTATTTTTTGAGGGAGCTTAAAAAAAAATACAAGTTAATTTACAACATAAAATTAGCTATAATTGCTCTTCGTTTCCATTCATTTTACTGGCAAAGATCCTTTACCTCCACTTTCATGTACCATTAAAGGTCCTCAATGCTGTATTATATTAACTTGAACTTTGCTGAACTGGGTGTGGCATTTAGGATCCAAGATTGGTTGCTATGAATTGCAAGCATCAGAGACTAACTCATGAAACTAAATGTGGAATGCAAGAAAGAGGTTCTACATGTCACTTCCAGTTTACATGGTGGAAAAAGTACACATTGACGTGATAAAAAATATGCATATTTTTATATAAATTTATAGGCTTTTGTGTAATTTATTTATGCGATTAATGTAGAAAACTGTAGTATGTACCCTTCACTGGAGGTGCCTTTATGTTGAAAGGCTCTTGATGCAGAGTATTAGAGCTACCCTCCACTTTCTTAGATAAACATGATTACCTCCTATTTCTCAGAGGCTGTATGACCTCTATGGATTAATGTTCCCCCACAGTTATATAAATGGTAATGCAGTACGTATATTGCAAATACTTGTCAGTCTTCATTCACTTCCTGGATTTGCTATGTGATGAAATCCTGGATTGGGCTGTGGCCTTTTAAAAGATATGCACCTAGAGGAGACAGGTATTGGATACCAGCTGAGAGTTGCAAGGTATTAGTAATTATGGAAATTACATATACATATAATTTTAAATAGTGTAATTTTGTATAAATTCTATAGCTTCACCCTTTCACTGTGACATTCAAAATATATGGTACAGTATTTCAACAAATATTTATAGCTTTTTACTGCAAAAAAAAAAAAAATAATAATTTGCTGTAGTACTAAGAAATTTTCCCTTATAGCCTTATAGTAGGATGTGCAATAATACTTACGTAACCAAGAAAATTGCACCAAATTTCTGCATGCAATTGTCTGTTGACTATATGCCACAACATATGGTGAAGAGGATTGGCTGACTGCCTAGCTGACATTCCTCACCCATCCCTGTTATTTTCTTTATATTATTACTGAACGGTTTGTGATTTATTTATGTACTTTATGATATTTATTTTAATGTATTATATCTAGATTTATTGGACTGATTTGATGGATTTTGGATTTAACAGGTACAGTATATAACAATACAAAATTCATAATTGACATTTATGGAAACAATCCTGAAAATTTGTTGTGCAGTGAAAGATTTAATACAATATTTAAAATGTTACTAGTGTAGAAAACCGTATTGCTGTTAAACAGCAACACAGAGTTGTCGTATCCAGGTAGGTATGATAGATATCCCATATTTAGGTGGGTGTGGTAGATATCCTTTACCCAAGCAGGCTTGGTAGACAGGCCATATGGATTTACTGGTCCTTGCTCTGTCTCCATGCAAGCTGGAGATTTTCATCTCCATAGTGCCTTAACTTTTTAAGTTGTAGGATGTTGTAGTCTCCACTAATGATGCTTCTTTATCTCTGAATTTACAATTCTTGTGTATTTTCATGACAAGATTATCAATTTCAATAAAATTTATAGCACAGAATTTTTTTTTTTTTTATTATCACAAAAATAATTACAAAAACATTTTAATGGAAGTCTCTTTGCAAAGGGTAGCCCTTGTGGTTTAGCACTTCTTTTTAATTATAATAATAATAATAATAATAATTTGCAAAAGGTGCCTTGGTGTGGATAGGCTTTTAATCCAAGGAACTGGAGTTGCCCTTCCCTTCCTTGGATCAAACTGAATTGTCTTGTTCCCTTGGTGTTGAATGACCTTTATGGGTTCAGAGCTTTCCCGAAATATAAATCATTACTCATTTGTAGGAGCAAATCGTTGGCAACAAGCATGACAATGTCTTATTACAGTGCCTGGGCAAATAGAAGGCAGCCAGGTTTGATCCAAGGAAAAGGTCAAGTTCAATTTCTTGGATTAACAGCCTCTAATCATCATGAAGAAACCTCCACTGAGGGGATAACAATCTTGTTACTCTGCACTTCACCCCTCAGATGATTCCTTGATGCTGGTGAAGGGCTTGTGATGCAAGGAATTGTACTTACCCTCCTCTTCCTTGGATTAAACCTTGATTGTCTTAGATTTCCTCATTTCTCTAGGTGCTGTTATGACCTCTCAGGGTTTTGTTTTTCCCTATGAATACAATGCTCATGCAAAGAACTGAATCTGTGCCCCCCTTGGACTGAACCCGAGTCTCCCATTCCTTGCCACTATTTGATCCCTATACCACCACCCTCATCCCCTTGCGCACCTTTACTCTCAGGGCTGCATGACCCATACGGGTGTAGCACATAAAATTAATATACAGTAATGATATGACCTTTATGAGCTTGGCACTTCCCCATAAACAATAATAAACACTCCATGAGGTGTTGAAGCATTTTTCTTTGCCCATTGGTCCCTTTACGGATGGGAGCGCTTCTTTCTGATTATAATATATAATATAATAATAATACGGATGGGAGGGGGTTGCCTTGATACTAGTGAAGGATCTTAGTCCAAAGAATGGAAGCTACCCTAACCTCTCTTGGGTTAAACCTGATTACCTCCATTGTACTATATGACCCTTATGGGTTTAGTGCTTTCCCTTCAAGTGAAGTGCCTTGACGCCAATGAAGGGCTCTTCATCCACAGAAGCGGACCTCTTCCTTGGGTCGATTCTAATAACTCACCATTCCTGGGCACTGTACGGCCCCTCTGGGTTTAAAGCTTCCCCTGATTCTTATGACCCCTCAAGGGAGGTTCCTTGATGCTGGTGACAGTGCTGTATAGCCCTTGTGGCTTATCGCTTCTTTTTTATTATAATACTAATTTATGCTGGTGAGGGGCTCTTGATCTAGGGAATTGTGCAGCACTGTATAATACTAATTATTATTATAACGAATACCACTGATTATAATCGAGGAAATTAAGAGTGAAATTGTTAGAAACTAACGCAATGAATTGCCATGGTGACGCTGTTGGGATAATATTGACGGAGTAGGAAGTCATTTTCAAGATTAGACATAATGATGATGACACATTTGGCAGCATAAGCTCCCCACACCAGGAAAGGTTATGTGTAAAATTAAAGCCAAAAATACGCATCAATTCATCTTCATTCCCTAGATGTATATACTTCAATTCTGTAACATATATCCACTGTCAGTCCCATTTTATACATTTCTGTTCAGTAAATCACATAAATTAGTAATGTGTTTTCGTGGCAGATCGGCAAATATAGTTTTGTAAGCTGTTTTGGCACGTGTAAGATAGTTTGTAACATTTGTGTGGGCAGCATCATGGGTGCCAAGATGGGACAACCCTCAGTGTTGTCTTGGAAGTGGTCGTTGTAACAAGGTGTGGAAAAATTTATAAATACATAAAATTTACACGTTATTCAGTTGAAGAAAAAAGAGGTAGGCAATCGTAAGTTGTTGCTCCATTAATTTTGTGACGTAAAAATCTGTGACTTGAAATTTTAATACAGATTTACGGCTACAATATATTGCTGATTTTTACACTGAATTTATTTTTATATTTATATCAATTACTCACAAAACATGGTTTTAATCGACTCGAGTCATTAAAAAAAATGACGAATACAACTCAGTAGCGAGAACATTCGGCTTACAATAGAAAGGTCTCGTGTTCTATTCCATTCTGTTCACGTAGCAGTAAAAATATATACCTGTGTGTCGGCCAACTACTGTGGGTCGTATTCTGAGAATAATTGTTATGCAAATTTGTTAAGAACTCCAGACCTGGTGGAAATCGTGTTTAGTAAAAAGAGTATCTTGCAATGCAGTATAGGCCTATATAATAATATTAATACAAAAGCGCTATTCGTGGATATATCAAGGAAAATACTACTACCACTACTACTGCCAATAATAATAATAATATGTATAATTTTTTATTTAAAAATTTAAGCGCTAAACCCAAAAGGGCTATAACTGCCCTTATTAAGTAAGTAAGTAAGTTTATTCAGGTATACACAAATACAGTTACATAGAATTATCATACATAGCAGCACATGTGTAGAGAACCTGGGATAACCCAAAAAAGTCAGACACAGTGACTTATTTCCATTGGGGTCCTTTTACCTTATTATTATAATATAAAGGTTATAATATTTTCTTATTATTCTACAATGAAGATAACATCTTATTATCATACTAAAAAGACTATCTACTACACGGGGGTCATTAAGACTATCTACAATACGAGGGTCATTACTAGGAATAAGGTAAAATTTACACGTATGTTAGCTAAAAAACAGAAAATCATTTCCCTCCCTTTCTGTAGCTACATTCATCAGACACCTTTTGGCACTCTTCTTGAACTGGTTCATGCTATGACTGGCTTTGACATGTGCGGGTAGTCTGTTCCATTCCTTTATTGCTGTACAATAAAAGGTGTTTGAAGCCTGGCCACTGACTGTGGGTACTACAAAGTTGTGTTCTCTCCCCCTAGTACTATGATTGCTTTGGTTCCCAACCTTGACAAAATTGACAGCAAGATATTCTGGACATTGTTTGTGAGCAATTTTATAAACATGATTTAGCTTCAGTTGTTTTACTCTGTCTTCAACATTCAGCATATCCAACTGCTGTAATTCATCCTGGCCTACATGTTCTCTTGGTCCCAGGTCCAGGATGAATCTTACGATTTTGTTCTGGGTGATTTGCAGTCTATCTTTCAGTTTTTTTGTCAAGGCAGAGTACCAAGAAGAGCAAGCGTAATCCATATGGCATTGCATAAGGGCTAGACATAGGGTCCTGCGAGCCTCAGTAGGTAGACACTGTGCTTGTCTATACAGGAACTTCAGTCTGGCATTCGCTTTCTTTACTACACTGTTCCCTAACAATTCTCCTGACATGCATGGGTCAAAGGGGATTCCCAAATATTTTTTCTGATGAAACCAAAGTGAATGGGCACCCATTACATGAAACATTAAAATTTAATTTACCCTTCTCAGTTTATGTTTCGTGCCAAAGAGAATGGCTTCAGTTTATTCCCTAGGGTAATGATATTTGTTGTTCTACTAACCATTTGCAGCAGGACTCCAAGTTCCAGTGATTAAAAACCATTAGCAAATATCTTGTGGGGAGTCTTGACCTGACACTAACAGAGCACTGTCATCTGCATACAGTAGGAGTTTGCACTTGACACTGATAGGACATAATCATTGACATGAACATAAGAATAATAAGGGACCGCAGAAACTAAACCTTGTGGGAACTCCACATGTTATCGGCAGGGGTTCTGATCTGTTTTGTGTTGATTTTGACTATTTTGTCTCCTGTTGCTAAAGGTAGGACTTAAAACCATTCTACAGAACCTATACCGATAGCTTGAAGTTTATTAACAAAATATATTGTGGTTGACATATCGAAGGGCTTTTGCAGGTCTAAGTTTACCATACCTATGAGGTTCCGCCCCTTTGACATTTTCAGTTCTCCGGTAAACCATCAGATTAATAAGGGAGTTCGGTTTAGTAGATCATCTAAAGCCCGATTGATAGCTATGGAGAAAGTTGTTGTCATTAAGGTACATAACTACTTGAAATACACCGGCCCTCTCTAGAATTTTAGATATTATACTGAGTATACTAACATGCCTATAGTTGCTTACATCAGACCTACTATTTTTTCTTGAAGATAGGAGTAACTCTGGCCTCCTGACCCCCTCCCCTGTACGGTATAGTGGTGATTGATAGATTTATTATGTGAGCAATAGGGATTGACAGTTCAGAAGCACCATCTTTTAGGAACTTAGACGGGATGTTATCAGGGCCTGTGCTCTTAGTTGGGTTTAACCTGCTTAGTTCTTTTTGAATAAAGTCATGAGATACACTTACTAGTTGACAACTGTTTGGGGTTACCCCTTTATTGGTATAGTATGTTTGAAACTTATCAGAGTCTGTGTTAAAGGTATTTGATGCAGCTGGTAGTTTACTTACTAGTGTTGATGCAACAGATGTGTAGTAGAAATTAAAGCAATTTGCCACCTTAGATGTTTCGTGGCATACCTCATTATCGATAGTGAGTACTATGTTAGACCTATCTACTGGCTTATGGCTATACCCCAACTGTTTTAGTTGTTGCCAGAGCTTTCTGGGGTTATGCTTATACTCTTCAATTTTTGAGCAGTAGTGCTTTGCCTTTGCTCCTTTATAAGTCTCTGTACTCTGTTCCTCACCCTTTGGAATTCATTTAGTGCTGCAATATCCTGTCTGTTTGCTTTAAATCTTTTTAGCAGCTGGTCTCTGAATTTCATATTATCTAATATCTCAGTATTCATCCAGGGTTCAGTTCTTCGTTTAATCCTAACCTCTTTAACTGGTGCAATATTATCAAGGATGGTAGTGAACATTGTTTTGAATTTTTCCCAGGCATCGTTTACGTCCGTGCAACTTGTTATCTCTGTCCAGTCACAATTGTGTAGCCTATTTACCAGTGTTTCTTTACTGTAGTTTCTAGTTGACCTCATTTTTATTGTCCTGTGTAGGCCTATCCTATCCCTAGTGATTTTCCTGGTGCAGTAAA